TGCCGTAAAACAAAACGTTCCCTAATCTCATGCCATAAACTCCCCTTTCTGTAGTGTAGTGTCACAAAATTAAACGCATGCGCACAACCATTCAAAAACCCCTTTTCACCGTGGAAGAAAGATTCTCTCTTCTCTCTCCCCAAACAGAAAGAATAACAGCCAGCTGTAACTTCCCATTTCCCCTTATAGTCAAACAACATTTAACAGCGCTCACAAAACATACAACCTGACTTACAAACACATAAACAAGTTTAAGAGACTTTCACCCGTCGCAACGGAATCTCTAAGGATACGTTAGCATGTAGCACACAACACAATTAGCCTGTAGCATTAGCCTTTAGCTTAGCCTAAGGTACACCGTGGCACAAAACACAATTAGCCGTTAGCCTTAAGCATTAACATCAGCATTTAGCCACGATGTACCATAATGACTAATGACCATTACACCGAGAAATCAGACCCAATCAAACACCCCGTCGGACGAGAGTCAAATCATAATTACAATCAGATAAACCCCATGAATCCGAGCTCTCTTTACAAAAAAGAAACCCACCGTCCACCCATTCTATCGTGTAAACGGATTTGTCGGCCCGACATCTAAAATGGCCCCCCCTGGAGGTCTTAAGTGGTACAGTGCCCTAAAGAATGCGCATATCTGCCTTAATCGTCACTTCAATACTTAAATCCTACCGTTTCATGCTCTAAAAACTCCCAATTATCTGCCGTTTCCCCTGGGATAAATTTTAGCCGACTCTAGTTGACCAGCAATAACGCCACCGAGGCCGGGTGATAATGGAACATCCCCTCAATGTACACAAGTCATATCCAATCTAACAAACTCCGAAGCGGTAAGAACACTCACCCTTTTTTCCCTCAGAGAGAGTTAGCCCGGCGATTGACTGAAACACAGAGGAGACGCAAACCAGCCCCACGTTGGGCGCCATTATGTCGTATATGATGAATGGTGGCAATTATCGCTGTCAACAAAGAGTTCGCCATACTGCATCGTGTTAGAGGCTTTTATTAAAATCACGAATCTACAGCATCGATACAGACTCGCGATGTCCGGAGAACGGCTCCCCAGATTGCTATGGCCGTTCTGCCGTCTAATCGTTTACCCCCTATTTATAAACAATGCAAAGGGAGGGGCTACTCCCTCTTCTGGCCAATCACCAGTCTCCCCTCGGGCGTCACCCTCCAAGCGGCACATTTCAAATAACATCATAAAACCTCCCCCCTTTGGCCTGAACAACCAACATTCCATTTCGTCATGAAAAACATTTAACAAAGGCATAATCTTCAGATACGATATCTACATGATGAGATTATTATGGATAAGAGCAAGAATATTTGTATTTGTCAAATGGCAGTCAAGCATCCATCATCATGTAACCAGAATCAGACCCTCGATATTTATGTCACGCCCTGACTCATGGGACTCTTGTATGTTGAGTCAGGGTGTGGATATTCTATGTTAGTATTTCTATGTTGCATTCTAGGTGTTGTAGTTCTGTGTTTGGCCGGGTGTGATTCCCAATCAGAGACAGCTGTCGCTCGTTGTCTCTGATTGGGAATCATACTTAGGCAGCCTATTGGCATTCATTAGTTGTGGGATCTTGTTCCGTGTGGAGGCTTGTTTTGTGTTTAGCCTTAGGACTTCACAGTTTGTTTGTTTTGTTTGTGTGTTTATCGGTGAAATAAACATGTATGCCTTTCACGCTGCGCCTTGGTCTGACCCATCCTTCAACGTACGTGACAGAAGATCCCACCAAAAATGGACCAAGCAGGGTGCCCAGGAGCAGACATCCTGGACATGGGAGGAGATCCTGGACGGAAAGGGATCCTGGACATGGGAGGAGATTCAGGCTGGGATGGATCGCCGTCCTTGGGAGGAGACAGTGGAGGCCCGGTTTAGCGAGGAGCAACGGCAACACAGAAGGCGCCGGCCGAGGAGGAAGCCCGAGAGACAGCCCCAAGAACATCTTGGGGGGGGGGCTAAAAGGGTGGTCGGGGATCGATGGAGAAGAGCCCCGACCACTGCACCCGTGGAGGCTCAGGGAGGAGTCCTCAAGGGAGGAAGACTGGGCGCGGAGAGTGAAAGATTGCTACAGTCGGAGATCTCTAACGTCAGTTCCCAGTCCGATACACCTCGTGCCTGTGTCTCACACCAAGCTAGTGGTGTGTGTGCCCAGCCCGGCCCGCTCCTGTTCCTCGCACCAAGCCAGTGGTGCGTGTTCCCAGTCCGGCCCGGCCCGTTCCTGCTCCCCGCACCAGACCAGTGGTGCGTGTTCCCAGCCCGGCCCGTTCCTGCTCCTCGCACCAGGCCAGTGGTGCGTGTTCGCGGTCCGGCCCGGCCCGTTCCTGCTCCTCGCACCAGACTAGTGGTGCGTGTTCCCAGTCCGGCCCGGCCCGTAACTGCTCCCCGCACCAAGCCAGTGGTGCGTGTTCCCAGTCCGGCACGGCCTGTGCCTGCTCCCCGCACCAAGCCAGTGGTGCGTGTTCCCAGTCCGGTACGGCCTGTGCCTGCTCCCCGCACCAAGCCAGTGGTGCGTGTTCCCAGTCCGGCCCGGCCCGTGCCTGCTCCCTGCACCAAGCCAGTGGTGCGTGTCGCCAGCCCGGTACGGCCTGTGCCTGCTCCCCGCACCAAGCCAGTGGTGCGTGTTCCCAGTCCGGCCCGGCCCGTCCCTGCGCCCCGCACCAAGCCAGTGGTGTGTGTTCCCAGTCCGGCACGGCCCGTCCCTGCTCCCCGCACCAAGCCAGTGGTGCGTGTCGCCAGCCCGGTACGACCCGTACCTGCTCCCCGCACCAAGCCAGTGGTGCGTGTGTCCAGTCCGGCACGGCCCGTGCCCGTTCCACTGGTGCCTGGTCCGGCACCGGTCAGCTGCTCCACTCCGGAGCCATAGCAGTCCGCTCCACCGGGGTCCAGTCCAGCTCCGGTCAGCGGCTCCACTCCGGCGCCAGAGCAGTCCGCTCCACCGGTGCCTAGTCCAGCTCCGGTCAGCGGCTTCACTCTGGAACCAGAGCAGTCCGCTCCACCGGTGCCCGGTTCAGCTCCGGTCAGCAGTTCCAGTCCAGACCCAGACGTCAGCCCCTCTCCAGGTTCGGGGTCTCCCACACCAGGGCCCAGACAGGGCTTGGTACATCGTGGGAGGAAGGAGAGGGGAAGCAACGCGCCGAGGTCCAGACCAGACCAGGGGCGCAACAGGGAGGCGGAGAGTATGTGGTCTTCACGCCCGGAGCCCACCCAGCCCCTACCCTGTTATGTAAGGTTTGTGCAGTCGGAGTCCGCACCTTTGGGGGGGGGTACTGTCACGCCCTGACTCATGGGACTCTTGTATGTTGAGTCAGGGTGTGGATATTCTATGTTATAGTTTCAATGTTGCATTCTAGGTGTTGTAGTTATGTGTTTGGCCGGGTGTGATTCCCAATCAGAGACAGCTGTTGCTCGTTGTCTCTGATTGGGTATCATACTTAGGCAGCCTATTGGCATTCATTAGTTGTGGGATCTTGTTCCGTGTGGAGGCTTGTTTTGTGTTTAGCCTTAGGACTTCACGTTTCGTTTGTTTTGTTTGTGTGTTTATCGGTGAAATAAACATGTATGCCTTTCACGCTGCGCATTGGTCTGACCCGTCCTTCAACGTACGTGACAATTTATTGGAAAAGAGCATCAAGATCACCATGCACTTTCACCACCCTGTGAAGTTCATCATAAGTTATTTCAGCTGTAGCCTAATAAACTGCATGGTTTCACTAGTCGTACTGGGAGGATCACACACTATATCATCGCATGACTCCAAGTTTACTTCGATATTATGCTTATTGTATCAATATTTGCGCATAAAGGTTTTCCACCGCCATTTCTCGCATAATTAATTTGACCGACACAAAAAGATCCCATCATGTCGAACAAACAAATTAGGCCTATCTGTGGGCATTTATAAACTGGACCGAAACGTCCTGTTTCCATCACAGCTGTCATGATTTTTCTTTGCTTAAGCACATGGACCAAATGGCATGTTTTCTTTATGCAGATTTTAGAATATTCCCATAAATCTTTCACCAATTGGATGGAATGTTGACAAACCTTTTTCCAGTCTGTTTAAATTATTTATATTTAACATTTTATTTAAGCTAGCAAGTCAGGTCAATTAGGCCACCAGTTTTGAGTGTAACTGATGGCTGTGTGAATCTGGAGACAACTATAGGCTAGCCATTTATTTTAAATCATTGCGATGCAAAAAAAAAAGGCACGTGCTGATGATGAGGCATCTTCTGATGGTATAGGAACCGTTACAGTTACAGTAAACCATGCCTCGATTTGGCTTCCGCAATATGAATAGGCTGTAGAATACCCAGATAAAACACTCAGGAAACTTCCGTATTCCTCTTGGAATACAAAGAGGCTTTGAGTTCATATGGGTTTACTAATCCTCTGGCCAATGCAATAAACCGCATATGATATATTTTTAGAACGTGTCAGGCTAATCAATCTTTCTGAGAATCTTATCAGGCTGCACGTTTTTTGGGTTCCATTATAGTATAGGCCTAAATTCGATTAATGTATTGATAGCCTGCTTGATAACATTATGTAATAATAAAACATTAGCCAATATTTAACTTTATAACTAAATGTATGATAAAGCTTTGAAAAAGCTTTAAATGCTTTTTGAAGATGCTTGAAAATATGGTTGTTTGCAAAAATAAATGCTATACATTTTTCCAGCTGTTGTAGTGTATTGGAGTTTATGTGAAAGTTCCCTGTGTTTTGACGCCAGTAATTAAACCAAAGTAGCCTTCAATGCGGAAACGTACATGCCTGTCCTACAGTGACAGTGACAGAAGGAACGTTCCAAGAGGTAGGCTACACGCGGAACTTAGGCTAATCATCTCGTAGAGACGGGAGCGGCAAGGCGCTGTGCGTTTGTTCCAGTTGTTGTATTGATAGTGGTCACCCACTGCCAGGCATTTAAGAAGTTAAATTGACATCCATAGCCGCGCAGATGGAGCACCTATCGAGGTTCGTAGGTCAGATGTCCTTGGCAGATGACAGCAGAGCAGAGGGCAACATCTCATCTGAGTATATTGTAAGTGAGAATCCTTGGTGTGACCATCACCATACCTCTCTATTGTCAGTTTATAATTCATTCCCGTAGATAGACAAATAAGACCAGGCAATATTTTCAGATGTAAAAATATATGATTTATGGCATGTGTATATTCATGAATTGATTGCAATTAACCTGTTAAAATAGGTCTAATGATGTTGTGTGCATGATGTGCAACATGTCTGTCACTGGTCCAGAGGGGGTACACCTGAGGGGTAGGATAAAGGAAAAGTAGGCTAGTGAAATGTTTCCCCTGTAATAAAGCTGAAAATCATAATCTAAAATATAGCCTAATTAACACAAACCTTTCAAATCAGTGGCCTATGTCTTTAAGGCACATTTAAAAATACATGTACACAGAAGTAAACCACTTATTCTGTTTTATTTTGACATAACACTGAATAGTGACATTTACAGAAGTCTATTTAGCTACTGTAGGTTTTTGTTACATCTGAACCTCTGTAAGTGTCAAGATAGGTAGGCTAGTCATTTTGTTCCTCATTTAGGTTCCAATGTAAGTTATCTATTAACACTGAGGCCACTAACATTTATTTGTTGCAGCACTTTCTTTCAGCCCTACTGGTCCATTGTGAATGATGTCTGTGTCTTTACATGCCAGAGTCAGATTGTTATCAATAAACATGATTATGTTTGTATGTTGAATTAATTACAACAGTGACCAAAATAGTAATACAGATTAACTTTTTTCTAAGCAGCCTAATTCAAGAGACAGAATGTGCAAAGTGAGAAATTGTGGTTATGTAATGATGTCTATATTAGGCTATGAAGAGACCTCTGTTATCACGTAACTAACCAGCCTTTCTTTACTGGTTCCACATTGCAGTAGCTTAATACAGACATCTGTGGTGAAAAGCAGACACCACAGGTTTTTATGTGTTTATTCTGATATTTCACTACACCCTCGATAACATCTGCAAAATATCTGTGGTCCTCTGTAGCTCAATTGGTAGAGTATAGCGCTTGTAACGCCAGGGTAGTGGGTTCGATCCCCGGGACCACCCATACGTAAAAATGTATGCACACATGACTGTAAGTCGCTTTGGATAAAAGCGTCTGCTAAATGGCATATTATTATTAAATATGCGTACGCGACCAATAACATTTGATAAAGACAAGTCTATTTCCACTCAGGGGCCTTTCATTTCTCAGATACATGTAAAAAATAAATAGCAAGCCATATTGATACTGTTGCGTGTCATCGACTGTCAGCTACATTAGCTCCTGCGTAAATTGGATTGTGAGTTCTTGCACTAAGCTAAGGGCTTCTTATATGTTTCATGTGTAACATCTTAGATATCCCTGTATGCTACTTGTCTTGAAAATATAGTTTTCTGACAAAAGGGCTGAGGGAATATGGCTCCCATTGGTGGTTACTAATGTATACAGATTGGTTTAGTTTGACCCTACCTGAAACATCCTTACTTCTAGGCTTCTGCTCTCAATCTTCCATTACAGTTTCACAACGTTGGAAATTGCTCCCAAACTCAGCTTTCATGTGTTGTGTTTGTCTCTATGTGCTTGTAGAATATTCGTGCTCAGACTTCCATCGTCAAGAAAGATTTTGGCCTTACGACAGAAGCCGGGGCACTGAAGGAGAATGTAAAGAGGAACCGTTACAGAGACATTTTACCATGTAAGCATCACGATGGAGGCTTAAAAACGGTTGTTGGTTTTTACTCTTATTGAAAATTAGATTCTTGCTTAATATTAAACTTATCTGAACAAAAACTCATGTATTTTTATATAGATGACCAGACCCGTGTGCCTCTGACTCTCCTGACAAATGAGAATGATTATGACTATATCAACGCCAGCTTCATTAAGGTACAGTATTGCTTGCATTCAGTAACAGTCCTATTTTGTATCATCATTCAGCTCAATCTGAAAGAGTCACTGAACACGCCGATTGGCACGTGTGTTTTTCTGTTGCTCATTAGAATAATTAGATTTCAGTCTTGGAGGTGTGTTTCCTGACCGATTCCACGTTTGGTTAATGGTGTTTGTCCCCCATGAGGCACTGTAGACATGGAAGCCTATTTAATTTCCTCAAAATCCCAGAACGAATCAAGATAACTCAATAAATCTGTAATTAATTGACGTTTTTGCAAAGGATGTTTTAGTTGCGCAATTTCACATCTAACTAAGGTGTTTGGTGCAGTATTTCTCAAGTAAAAGAGACGTGTTGTCTTGTGGAAACAGTCGGAGCTGCTGAACAGGTCTGTCGCACTGTCTATGCTATTGGATAGAGAGCAATCACCTCAGCTGTTCACCCTATGTTAGTGGGCAAATGGACATCGTCAAATCAAAACACAACCTTAATTTAACTGTTGTGATGCATGGCTGTTCCAAACTCCGTTTTAGACGAGACAGACTTTATGACCAAAATTATCCTATTTACAGTTTGTAGTACATTTTGACACTAGAATAACTGTTTCTGACTTATATCGATGTCACATAGGCCATTTTCAAAGGGATTCGTTGCTTTTAAAAGGCAGTCGATCTTTAAGCTGATTGTTCTGCTTTATTTCATCTATCCTCTAGGGGGCAACAGAGACCAAAAAATACATAGCGACCCAAGGGCCTCTGAGACACACTTTGGTGGACTTCTGGCGAATGATTTGGCAGTATGATGTAAAGGTATGGAAGACCATATTCAGCTTTATATAAATGCAGTGCAGCTTGTACAGTAGCTCTGTTTCCGTATAATTTACTCTATTTCTACATGTATAGGAAAGAATAACACTAAAAAGATTAATAATGGGAAAATTGTCTCCTAATCTAATGCTTGCCATATTTACTGTCCCTATTTTAGGTCATAATCATGGCTTGCAGAGAAATTGAAATGGGAAAGGTAAATGCCCTTTTAGACACCTCTTGTTGGAGTGTAAACATATTAGTGTACTGTAAGATTGATAAACTATATGACAACTTTGATGCTTGTGTCCACTTGACTCATAACATCTTATTCGATGTCTTTTTGCAGAAAAAGTGTGAGCGCTACTGGACAACTTTCAAAGAAACAACTCCTTTTGGCCCCTTTATTGTGTCAAACGTAAGTGTTTGTCAGATATATGTGTTCAGTTGTATTACTATTCATGAAGTATAGTCTCTCTAGACAGACGGGTGGCCTCCCACACCAATGTTCCATCGTGCACATAGTGCTGTTGCCCTGTGGTCTTCTGAAACTATTCATGAAGAGTTCCCTTTTTACCTAACAGCCTACAGAGATGATTTGTCAGTTCCTGTGAACTAAGTGTACCCTGAATTTGTTATTTCATGGCACTGCACATTGACCCATATGTTGTTGTCTGCATGAAATTACAGGCATCTGTTTCAGGAAATACTAGAAAAAGTTTATTGACATTTCTTTGCAGTTTGAGGAATCCAGCCCAAATGAGGAAGTAGTTGTCCGTACTCTGACAGTGAGATATTATGAAGTAAGTGTCCAACTATGAAAAAGGGGTAATATTGTGTTTTTTCTGTGCAGCACTAGTCAAATAATTCTTCAAAATTGTCAAATTGAATCAGTATTTTCCAACAACCATTATTCACTTTGGATAATCTCACATTGTTTGTAAATTTCCAGGAAGTTGAATGAGGGAGCCAGGGAAGTAATCTGCCCTACCAAGCAAAAGAGCAGTAATTGCTCATAGAGTGAAACTGAGAAAAATTACTTCAAAGTTGTTTTATTGTCCAGCCAAATGAATTGTAGGCAGATCACTGGAGATGTGGTTGTCTGTTGTCTTACTATGAGGTTATTATTTATTAATATTGACCCTGACCTCTGACATGACCTTTGACCCTAGACGGCAGTTACTGCCTTCTTGCTTGGTACACCCACTGGAATACGTTTGTAATTTTTTTTCACAAACTTGTGTTAATATATTTATTTATATATGGCCGTCAATGTCATATAGTTTGATACTTGTATCAGCAAAGAACAATAAATACTACCAAGGTAAACCGTAGACACTGCAGCCCAAGGCACAGTGAAACCAAGGTAAAAGGCAGTAACTGACGTGAGGGATGGCAGTTACTGCCATTTTCCAGTTACTGCAAACATGACCCCCATTTTATCCATAACTCAACACAATGGAGGCAGGATATTTGTCTACATGATAAAGCATGTATTTAATGTATACAAATTGTCAACTAGTTTTTTACCAAAATAGTGTGCAGTTACTGCTCTTTTGCTTGGTAGAGCAGTAATGCAAACCATGTTTTGTGCTAGGAAACGCGGACAATCTCTCAATTCCAATACACAGCTTGGCCTGATCATGACATTCCATACACAGTTTATGGTATGTTAGGAATGATGGATATGGCTCGCAAAGACCAGGGAAACAACGCTAACCCTGTTCTCATCCACTGCAGGTTTGTTTGTCTCCTACTCTACAGTACATGTCATACAGCCCAAAATGCCAAGCAGTTATTACTGTCTGCCTGCTGGGCTTTTTGTGCTCTGAGATGAAATGATCATGCTCAGACAGATTATGATCCATATGCCCATTAAAATTCATCCATGCATATAATGTAATGTTGTTTATCACGAGGCCACATGTACTCCTTGAGCTCCATGCATTTTAATGAAGCCATTTAAATGAAGTGAGAAATGTTAAATATTCAGGACCTGATGTGGTCTGTCGACTCATATGACTTATGTCCATGTTGTTGCTTTCTGTGGTTATGTTCTAGTATTATCAGAGTGATGAATGAAGCATGTATGTTTCTCTTGTATTTTCAGTGCTGGTTGTGGAAGAACAGGGGTGATTTGTGCCCTGGATTATGTCCATGATCTTCTTGTGACAAAGGTATTATTACTTATGTTCAGGACAGTATATTGATGGCATCATTTAGGGAATTGGTTTAACAAAACATTTGTAGACTGCACCTATGAATAATATAACAATAACAATAAAAACTGTAAAAATGATAAGTGAGTGTTTTGGTAAATCTATGTTCATATTTCCACACCAGCAAATTAAAGAAGATTTCAGTATCATGAAGATTGTACTGGAACTAAGGAGACAGAGGCCATCAGCAGTTCAGACAAAGGTATTTTATTATCAGACAGAATTTAATATCAGATCAAAATTGTGTTTATTTACATCTACAGTGCATTCGGAAAGTATTCAGACCCCTTGACTTTTTCCACATTTTGTTACGTTACAGCCTTATTCTAAAATGGATTAAATTGTATTTTTCCCTCATCAATGTACACACAATACCCCATAATGACGAAGCAAAAACGGGTTTTTAGCCATTTTTGCATATGTATTACAAATAAAAAACAGAAATACCTTATTTACATAAGTATTCAGACCCTTTGCTATGCGACTCGAAATTGAGCTCCGGTGCATCCTGTTTCCATTGATCATTCTTGAGATGTTTCTACAACTTGATTGGAGTCCACCTGTGGTAAATTCAATTGATTGAACATGATTTGGAAAGGCACACACCTGTCTATATATATTGCCCTATGGGACTCCCAATCACGGCCGGTTGTGATACAGCCTGGAATCATGGGTGGTCCTCTGTAGCTCAGCTGGTAGAGCACGGCGCTTGTAACGCCAAGGTAGTGGGTTCGATCCCCGGGACCACCCATACACAAAAATGTATGCACGCATGACTGTAAGTCGCTTTGGATAAAAGCGTCTGCTAAATGGCATATTATTATTATTATTATGAATCAAACCAGGGGGTCTGTAGTGACGCAAGCACTGAGATGCAGTGCCTTAGACCGCTGCGCCATTCGGGAGCCCACAGTTGCTATAAGGTCCCACAGTTGACAATGCATGTCAGAGCAAAAACCAAGCCATGAGGTCGAAGGAATTGTCCGTAGAGCACCAAGACAGGATTGTGTCGAGGCACAAATCTGGGGAAGGGTTCAAAAAATTACTGCAGCGTTGCAGGTCCCCAAGAAAACAGTGGTCTCCATCATTCTTAAATGGAAGAAGTTTGGAACCACCAAGACTCTTCCTAGAACTGGCTGTCCGGCCAAACTGAGCAATCAGGGGAGAAGGGCCTTGGTCAGGGAGGTGACCAAGAACCCGATGGTCACTCTGACAGAGCTCTAGAGTTCCTCTGTGGAGATGGGAGAAACTTCCAGAAGGACAAACATCTCTGCAGCGCTCCACCAATCAGGCCTTTATGGTAGAGTGGCCAGACGGAAGCCACTCCTCAGTAAAAGGCACATTAAATCCCGCTTGGAGTTTGCCAAAAGGCACCTAAAGACTCTCAGACCATGAGAAACAAGATTCTCTGGTCTGATGAAACCAAGATTAAACTCTTTGGCCTGAATGCCAAGTGTCACGTCTGGAGGAAACCTGGCACCATCCCTACGGTGAAGAATGGTGGTGACAGCATCATGCTGTGGGGATGATTTTCAGCATCAGGGACTGGGAGACTAGTCAGGATCGAGGTAAAGATGAACGGAGCAAAGTACAGAGAGATCCTTGATGAAAACCTACTCCAGAGCACTCAGGACCTCAGACTGGGGTGAAGATTCATCTTCCAACAGGACAACGACCCTAAACACACAGCCAAGACAATGCAGGAGTGGCTTCGGGACAAGTCTCTGAATGTCCTTGGGTGGTCCAGCCAGAGCCTGGACTTGAACCCGATGAAACACCTCTGGAGAGACCTGAAAATAGCTGTGCAGCGACGCTCCCCATCCAACCTGACAGAGTTTGAGAAGGATCTGCAGAGAAGAATGGGAGAAACTCCCCAAATACAGGTGTGCCAAGCTTGTAGCGTAATGCCCAAGAAGAATCGAGGCTGTAGTCGCTGCCAAATGTGCTTCAACAAAGTACTGAGTAAAGGGTCTGAATACTTATGTAAATGTCATATTTCAGTTTTTTTATTTGTAATACGTTTGCAAATATTTCTAAAAACCTGTTTTTGCTTTGTCATTATAGGGTATTGTGTGTAGATTGATGAGGGGGGAAAAACGATTTAATCAATTTTAGAATAGGGCTGTAATGTAACAAAACGTTGAAAAAGTCAAGAGGTCTGAATACTTTCCGAATGCACTGTATATGTTATTTTGTGTACTGAAATACTCTACTTTGGAAATATTAATCTCTCCACTCAGGAGCAGTATCAATTTTTGTTTTCTGCTGTGGCTTACATGTTTGAGAATGCTTTACGGTCAGCTGAGAACATCTACCAGAATCTCACCAAGGTAAGACAGAAACTGCTACTTTCGTTCAACCAGTATAATTTTTTGAAATAGCTATTTCCAACCCCCAGGTGTCAGCCTTTCTACAACACAGTATTCAACACATGCCATACTGGCATTCATGGACAAGCAAGCTTTACTAAAGCAATAAGACATGAGAGGGCATGCACTATTATTGTCAGGGTTGGGTAGGTTACTTTCTAAATGTAATCCATTGCAGTTATTAGTAAAAAATTGTAATCAGTAACATAACTTTTGGATTACCCAAACTCAGTAACGTAATCTGATTGCTTTCAGTTACATTTGGATTACTGTCCCCTTAAGAGGCATTAGAAGAAGACAAAAAGGATCCATCAAACGCATTTGGTGTGTCATCATAGTGGTCTCTGACATGTGGTCAGACTCGCTCAGGAGGAACAAACTTAAACTTGCGCTTTTTTTCAATACTGAATTGAATGTCATAAAAACAAAGGTGTCAATGTTTTTTAAATAAGTAATCATCTAGTTTTTCAAAGTATCTGTAATCTGATTACAATATTTTTGCTGGTTACGTAACTGATTACTGTTACCGTTTTTGTAATCAGATTACATGTAATCAGTTATTCCCAAATTCTGATTATGGTAATTATTGGCACGTCTGTGATGCAGTCAGAAAGCTGACACAATTTGAAAATAACTTCAGCTGCCAGTGTGTAAGTTTTTCTGTGACTAAAACACAAAGGCCCTGTCTGTTGATTGTGTGATCCATTTAATCTGATCGTACTGTATTACACTACTGTCTGAGATTTCAATGTGATGAGTGGAGTTAGGAAAAAAAGAGAAATGTTAAGCAGGAAACATCCAGCTTCCTCTATATGTAAATGCTGTCGCATAGAAATCATTGTTCACACATTTTCATACAGAGAAGTGCCTGAACTTGAGAGACAGAGTCCTATACCTCTCTGATGTACTGTTGATTTTGTTGTGAATAGAGTAACCAACCTTTATATGACGGCGTTGCGTCTGTGAAGACATCCCCACCGACAACATCAGCCAGCGCTCAGACACTTGCAAAAAGGTAGGAGCAAATATTATTTCTTCATTCAGAATACCAGTGGAGGCTCTTCAGAGGAGGAAGGAGAGGACCATCCTACTCAGTGAATAAAAAAATGTTAATAGTGAAACATAGTTATCATTTTTAGATAAAACGATGCTAAATATATTACCAAATATGTCACCAAATAGCTGATTAAAACACAGTGTTTTGCAATAAGTCTACAGTAGCCTCAACAGCAATCTCTAGGGTAGCACTATGGTGTAGCCGGAGGACAGCTATTTTCCATCCTCCTCTGGGTACATTGACTTCAATACAAAACCTAGGAGGCTCATGGTTCTCACCCCCTTCTATAGACTTACACAGTAATTATGACGACTTCTGGAGGACGTCCTCCAACCTATCAGAGCTCTGAACTGACATGTTGTCCATCCAGTCAAAGGATCAGAGAGTTAATCTAGTACTGAAAGCATAAGCAACAGCTAGCACTGCAGTGTGGTGAGTAGTTGACTCAAATAGAGAGCAAGACATAGTTGAACAGTTTTAAACAAATTAATTTATTCAAAAATTAAGGAGAGAGAGAGAGAGAGTCAAAAGTTTGGGCACACCTACTCATTCAAGGGCGTTTCTTTATTTTTGCTATTTTTTACATTGTTGAATAATAGTGAATACATCAAAACTATTAAATAAAACATATGGAATCATGTAGTAACCAAAAAAGTCTTAAACAAATCCAAATATATTTGAGATTCTTCAAATAGCCACCATTTGCCTTGATGATCGCTTTGCACACTCTTGGCATTCTCTCAACCAGCTTAACCTGGAATGCTTTTCCACCAGTCTTGAAGGAGTTCTCTCATATGCTGAGCACTTGTTGGCTGCTTTTCCTTCACTCTGTGGTCCAACTCATCCCAAACCATCTCAATTTGGTTGAGGTCAGGGGATTGTGGAGGCCAGGTCATCTGATGCAGCACTCATCACTCTACTTCTTGATAAAATAGCCCTTGCACAGCCTGGAGGTGTGTTGGGTCATTGTCCTGTTGAAAAACAAATGATAGTCCCACTAAGCCCAAACCAGATGAGATGGCGTATCGCTGCAGAATGCTGTGGTAGCCATGCTGGTTAAGTGTGACTTGAATTCTAAATAAATTACAGATAGTGTCACCAGCAAAGCACCCCCACACCCTAACACCTCCTCCTCCATGCTTTATGGTGGGAAATACACATGCAGAGATCATCCGTTCACCCACACCGCGTCTCACAAAGACAAGGCGGTTGTAACCAAAAATCTCCAGTTTGGACTCCAGACCAAAATACACATTTCCACTGGTCTAATGTCCATTGCTCGTGTTTCTTGGCCCAAGCAAGTCTCTTCTTATTGGTGTCCTTTAGTAGTGGTTTCTTTGCAGCAATTTGACCTCTAAACAGATGATGTTGAGATGTGTCTGTTACTTGAACTCTGTGAAGCATTTATTTGGGCTGCAAATTCTGAGGCTACATTGTAGAATAATAGTGAAGACATCAAAACTATGAAATAACACATATGGAATCAGGTAGTAATCAAAAACATGTTAAACAAATCAAAATATGTTATATTTGAGATTCTTCAAATAGCCAACCTTTTACTTGATGACAGCTTTGCACACTCTTGGCATTCTCTCAACCAGCTTCATGAGGTAGTCACCTGGAATGCATTTCAATTAACAGGTGTGCCTTGTTAATTTGTGGAATTTCTTTCCTTAATGCGTTTGAGACAATCAGTTGTGTTGTGACAAGGTAGGGGGGGTATACAGAAGATAGCCCTATTTGGTAAAAGACCAAGTCCATATTATGGCAAGAACAGCTCAAATAAGCAAAGAGAAATGACAGTCCATTACTTTAATACATGAAGGTCAGTCAATCTGGAAAATGTCAAGAACTTTGAAAGTTTCTTCAAGTGCAGTCGCAAAAACCATCAAGCGCTATGATGAAACTGGCTCTCATGAGGACCGCCACAGGAATGGAAGACCCAGAGTTACCTCTGCTGCAGAGGATAAGTTCATTAGAGTTAACCGCACCTTAGATTGCAGCCCAAATAAATGCTTCACAGAGTTCAAGTAACAGACACATCTCAACATCAACTGTTCAGAGGAGACTGCGTGAATCAGGCCTTCATGGTTGGAATGCTGCAAAGAAACCACTACTAAAGGAAACCAGCTTAGTGGGATTATCATTTGTTTTTCCATCAGGACAATGACCCAACACACCTCCAGGCTGTGTAAGGGCTATTGTACCAAGAAGGAGAGTGATGGAGTGCTGCATCAGATGACCTGGCCTCCACAATCCCCTGACCTCAACCCAATTGAGATGGTTTAGGATGAGTTGGACTGCAGAGTGAAGGAAAAGCAGCCAACAAGTGCTCATCATATGTGGGAACTCCTTCAAGACTGTTGGAAAAGCATTCCAGGTGAAGCTGGTTGAGAGAATGCCAAGAGTGTGCAAAGCTGTCATCAAGGCAAAGGGTGGCTATTTGAAGAATCTGAAATATAAAATATATTTTGATTTGTTTAACACTTTTTGGGTTACTACATGATTCCATATGTGTTATCATAGTTTTGATGTCTTCACTATTATTCTACAATGTAAAAATAGAAAAACCCTGAGTGTGTCCAAACTTTTTGACTGGTACTGTGTGTATATATATATATATATATATATATATATATATATATATATATATATATATATATATATATATATATATATATATATATTTATTTTTTCTTCTTAGTTTACCTTTCACTTACTTAGCTAATGCAGCTAATTTAGCCTACTCAACAACCTGACTCAAACAGAGAGGAATGCTATTTATGTTAGCTAGCTGGCTAAGGCTATCCAACACTGCAACTCTTCCAAGTAAAGGTAAGCATTTATAAATGTATTGCCACGAGGCCCGCCGGTGTAAATGATAAACTGCTTGCTGTACACTATACTGCGTGATTGTATTACACACAATCACAACAACAGTTGTGACTTTAATAAGCAGCCTGAGTTAATGATACCACAGTAAGGTGCTCCGATACAATGGGGGAGGTTGACTCAGGTTGGTAGAGAGAGAGAGAGTTTCGAGACACTAAGGGAAGAAAGAATGCTTCCTGTTTTGTTCAAGTGAGTCCACGGTCTTCTATTTTAGTTTGCAGTACAACAGTTTTATGTTTGTGTACTTTACATGCTGGGTGTGTAGAGTGTGAAGTTTAAGTGTACATAGGCTTATCAATACCAAGTTATGTAGTAATATTTCATAGTAGTTGATTGTTACAGTATATACACACCTTCCTTGCCTTGACAATTAAGCAAATAGTTGGCTGTATTGAAATATGTACTGTATATTGAAATACACTGTTGTGGTACACATTGATGATCTTGAATAAAAAAAGACTTTAATCCAGTTAGCTTTAGATTGACATTTTACAGAAATGTAGGACACAGCGTCCGTATGATTAATGAAGCAGAAGGATTTCACCATGCTTGTACTACTAAACATTCATCATGTCGCAGAGGAAGTAACAATCTGGGCTGTTAAACTTCACTTTCACACCCTCTCCTCCCTCCCATATGTTAAACTACTACTGAGAACCCCTCAGCTCGCATCACAGGCTTAGAGAGAAAAATAATCGATTTCTCTGTAAACAGTAACATACTGTATAGTCAGTAGGAAATCATCATGGTAAACCTGCAATTCCTTATCAATCTTAATTTCTACTATCCTAGTAGTAAAGATCCACTGTAGATGCTCCAAAAGAAAACAGACTTGATAATGAAAGTCCAGTCACAAACATAATAGTCATGACCATCTGGTGTGTAGAGTAGAAACAACAAGGCTATATTTGTACCTTTTTGCTTTTCGCAGTTTGTGGAATTTATATTGATGTCTACTCCTCTTTAGAAATTCTAATGTGCAGCACAGATTGCCTCAGCCTCGCCAGCAGAAGATGAATAACACCTATGCTGTGGTCAACAAGTCCAAACAGCTCCTGCCACCAGCCTCTTCCACCGCCCCTCCGGCCGCTCTCCATCACTATGACAACGCAGAGCTGGGCAACCCAAAATGCCATGTCAGTGCTTTTTACAGCATGGTCAAGCCCAAGAGCAGGTGTCCTCCAGCCAACCCGCTTCCAGCTGTCTCAACCGTATATGACACTGCCGGACCAGCCAATCACAGGCTAGCTGAGGCCTCGGCAGTGGAGGACCAGAGTGGCTATGAGCTGGTCACAGGTGAGAGGATTTTAGGGCAACCTTTGGAGACCAATGTGAGGCCAGCTCTGGTTTTGTTTTTGTCATTAGTATCCTGCACAGAATATCCCGTCTTTCAAAAGGATATTGCAATCTAGATCTAGTAACCCCGCCCCCGAGTCGAGGCTTGTGTCCTAACTTGACCACAAATGATCAATACTTTCCGTTTCTTGCCAGTAACAATTTCTTGACGGCCATATTGAACTGTTTATGTGGAAAATGTTTTACTGATTCTTATCGTTTGCTTTTTTCTAGCTGAGCGTTATTCCTTGACAGAAGATGACTATGAATATGTCTCAAATCCCATCAAACACATGACCAACATCTGCACTCCTGGTAGCATGGGTGAATATCTGCTTATCTTTGTAATGATATTGTCCAATGGCATATACTGTATCTAAAGCCATTATAGCTACCGAATGTAATATACATTTCCTCAGAATCTCATGAGTAACATTATTGCGACTGGATGTCAAAACAAGGCTATGTAAACTGTTAGATGTACTTGCAGGTGTCTTCAAGTAATTCCAACCACACTTCTCAACTTTCCCTCAGAGTTCAACTGTCGCATTAAAAAACCCAAAGGGCCTCGGGATCCCCCGGCAGAGTGGAGTCATATGGAGAGATGATACAGCAGCCATATACCAGGCCTGGCAACACTTTACTCAACACTTTACTCATTAATGTTTGAGAAGCAATGGGAATGGGCTCTTTAATAGAGTATTTATTTTTACTTGTTATGATCACAAAAATACAGTTATCTATCTATCTTTTGTAACCCATTTGAGTTCGTATATTTTTCAGATCATTATTTATTGTGATGTATGTTACTGATGAAAAAAACTATATTAAACAACTTTCAATTCTGAGACAAGTATTGGTTTTGAATACCATTTACCAATTGAAGCTCAGTGGCGCTATGGTGTGATGGTAGTAACCAACAGGTGGCACTATAATAACATGAGATAATGATTAATTATTATTATTATAATGAGCTTTTTTCATTTTTGACGAAACAGGTATTGTAAAATGTGTTTTCACAGGTAGACTTTATTGCTTTGATGTCTACTCATTGCTGGTAACAAGGACTTACAATAAAGACAACAATTTCTTCAAGGTTCTTTGAAATAAGTATTTGTATTAGCCCTGTGTACCACACAGTCATTGCAGTTTACATGTAGATACAACAAATGTTCTTGTGATCACAGTAAAAACTGTGTACTGTACTGGAAAACAGTTTGTTGAACATTCTGTGATGGAAATACCAGCTTTGATGATTGACCTCTGAACATTTGTGGCTGTGCTGCTATGATGTTTCAGTCACAGAAATCAATCAAAAGCCAACTTCTTATACTCTGAAATGAACATCTGTGTATCTTCCAGATACCAAGCTAATACTCTGTCTGCAGAAAAAACTGAGAGCAGTCTCTAGAGATTAAATCTGCAATACACTTCAATCGCTAACTAATTATAGCCACTGGTTTAAATGTGTGGTCCTATGTTGTGTTCCTATAGAAACTTGCCCACAAGAACATATTTCTTTTACCCCAGCCATTGAGACCCAATGCTGGGAGGAGCATCAGAAAGTGAGAGTGTGTTGGATTTAGGCACAAAAAAAGACACTTGAGGGGGTGTTGCTAATGACCACTCCATTTTCTAGTTGGCAGAGCCTGTGGGATGTCAGGGGTTTAAACTCGGCTGGATGGCTAATCCCATTCAGCAGATGCTAATGTGAAATGAGAATCTAATGACCTTCTGCCATGGCTTCTCAACCCAAGCCTCCAGCTATCTCATAGCAACCCCTCACTCAGCTTCACACACAACACACACACACACACATTAAAATGCACTAAAGCGGAATACATATTTTGACCTATGCTGATGTTTATTAGCTGGTGTGTCTGATGTATTGACGGCTGATATCAAATCTCCCCTTAGGGGATCAATAGAATTTGACCTTATCCTAACATAAACTCATAAAACACAGAACAACATTTGCCTCTACATCTTACGGTAACTGTCGTACTGAGTGGGACATATTTGCTTTGTGTGCCATGTATTGCTTAGGTCCCGTGTAGCTCAGTTGGTAGAGCATGGCGCTTGCAACGCCAGGGTTGTGGGTTCGATTCCCACGCGGGGCCAGTATGAAAAAATGAATGCACTCACTAACTGTAAGTCACTCTGGATAAGAGCGTCTGCTAAATGACTAAAATGTAAATGTGTGCAAATACATCAGATAAAGAAAAGTAGATATCTGGATAGCGTTACATTAAAATGCCACAAGTTATGTTCTTTGTATTTCGTCTAGGTGGGTCATTCTGTGGTCGATTTCTTAGGATTGTTAATGTTTAGGAGTAAAATGCTGATAAGGTGTACAACTGCTCTCCTAAGACAAGTGTTTCACATTATAACCAAGCGAAATCAAAATAGTCAACCATAGCCTGTGGCCATTGTGTAAACTACAGACACAAGAGCGTATATTAGGGTAGACACTTAGAAATTGATCCTGACCTGTTTAGTCCTTTTTACAAGCAGAAAGGTATTGATTGGTCCATATCTTGCATCTGATCTCATTACCCATCTGTTTTCTTACTTCAATTACTATTCAATAAATTCAGAGAAATCAATTTTACAATAAGACCTTTCTAATCTTTTGGGTCAAATATCAATGAAAATAAATCCATATAAATAAAGACAAATATAATTAATCCAATTGCACACAGTGTTGTTCTGTGCGAAAATGAGTGTGAGGGAGAGGGAGAGGAAGGGTGAAGGGTGAAGATTACAACATCAACTCTGGCCTTTGTGACTATGTGTGTTGGCATAGAATGAATAGGGGTTTTGGATGTATATTGCTCTGAGCTGCTGAGGGTTAGAGCCAGAAGTGAAGTAGATGGATGAAGGGGTGAAAGGGAGTTGGGTTGGACCGGTGTCAAAGTGCTGTAAGAAAGGAGGGAGAGAGGGGAAGAGGCTGGTTTCAATTAAATACCTGGCAGGACTGGATACTCAGTAGTTTGACTCTGGTGAAAAGAGGCAAAAGTTCAATAGCTGTAATGAAATCCACATAATGACATTATGACACTTCCAGACCCACAGAAAGTCCACTGGATTACGTCATAGCTACAGAATGTGTAGTGAGTGACAGTGCACCTTTAAAGGTCCAATGCAGACGTTTTTATCTTAATATCAAATCATTTCTGGGTAACAATTAAGTACCTTGCTGTGATTGATTTCAATTAAAATCATCCAAAAGAAAAAAAGAAAGCTTCATAGCAAAGAGTAATTTCTCAAGTGGGGAGGGGAAAACTGAAAACTATCTGTTATTGGCAGAGAGGTTTGGAACTCTTTTTCTTATTGGTCTATTAACTAGGCAGGCCAAAACTCCATCCCACCAAAACAGGCTGACATTTCAGACGCTCTTTTCAAACAGCTCTTACACTAAAAGGGCATTATCATCATTTTCAAAATATTATTCCAACCTCATAGTGTGAAAATATATATAAAACACAGGAAAATCAAATTTTTGACTACCCTGGGCCTTTAAGTGTGGTCTCATACAGTGTCTGGGCAACATACAATGTTTTCCTGTCTTAGTGCCTTTGTCAGTTCCCGCTAGACTTCAAACTGTAATCAAAATGTCATCATCACTGGATATGTTTATTGATTAATAAATTGATATGTGATTAAGCTACAGGGTAGTGTCGAGCAGTAGGCTAACTGAATTCTCTCCAGTTCAGTTTGAGAATGCCTGTGAGTTGGACTCTCTGGGGCAAAGAGCTGGGGTATAGGAGGTTTGGGAGTGTACTATGATTATAGCAAAGGATACTGGTAGTGCAGGCAGGATCTGTGGTTACAATGGATTATACTCCCCCTGAAACATATACATACTGTGCTCTGCCTCCCTCCCCATCTCTCTCACATTCTCTCTCACTTTCTCTCTCTCGCTTTCTTTATCACTCATTCTCTCCAACCACAAAGTACAGCTCTTTCTGAAATAGCAGAAGTTGGGAGATGGCACAGGGAGCTGGAACAGAGGGAGTGTGCTGCGTGGCAGTGGCTTTGCTGATGCAGCTCCAAGACTTGGGGTGTTGGCTCAAAGAGTGGAAAGGAGACCACAGGCATGCATGAATTGGAATTCAAGTGGAAAGGCCTGTGTATCAGTGAACAACAGCTGCTTATCATATTGCCACTCAACCCATCACTGATACCAGCCATTACCTACTGTCCACCTACTGTGATGCCCTGAGCATAGACCATCTTCATTGATCATCATACATAAGTATGGCCATACATTTCATACTACCATCATTATCTCTGTATGAACAATACATGTGTGTTTTCTTTTTTCTCTCTATATTAGTATTACCACATACACTAGCATTCACAATATCACTGTATACCGTAAGATACTGCTGTATTTACTGTAGATTATTTTGGCATCTCATGTTATGAGTTTTACTCAATATATTGCCACAAGCAATTTCATGTCAACCAAGTAGCAAAATGCACGGAGAACTTTCCCGGATATCTATGCAGCGTTTAATGCAAACTGAAAAGTCATTTCCCCCCTGGAATATCCCACCGACTGGAATAATGTGAATGCTGCTGTTGGGGCACAGCACAAGAAAGTGTTGCTTAGCAACTGTTTCAACTCCATTTTGAAGTTTTCTTCATTTTTTTGCAGTAAGGTAAAAAAAAACAATGGAAATTGTACACTATAGTAAACTGCAGTGATATGGTGCATTATGAGAAGCAGCTACATAGCGCTTTTCTGTCTTTTTACTGTGTATCGCCACACTTGATAAGTGTTCTCTCATGTCACATTTTAAGAGTTTGAAATCAGTTGTTTTCCATTACGAACCCAAGCAAACACACACATTTGAAAGAAAATTAGCACATAAACCACTGCATGAAAGGCCTAAAAATACATCTTTACAATGATACAGGACTACTGGCTTGGTTTTAACAAGACCCTGAATGAGATACAGGCTCAAACAGTCAAATTGCTCCCTTTCCACCTCGCTGTGGTTAGGGGGAGGAGGGGGCTCCTTGTGGCCTGGACCCTCTAAACTACACATGATTTCACAAACAGCTGCAGTGGCTTATATGGGCCAGATGTGAGGCTCATGGGACTAAAGAGCAGCCTGGGGACAGGCCTAACCACCCAGCAGTCAATAGAGAGGGGCATTGTCATGCATGCTGCAACCCTTTTTATGGTGACTTGAGCAAATTAACAGGGAGTAGGCATCAATTTACACGTACATTCCTCCTCCGTGGTAGTAATATTTTTTGTTTGCCAAGTCTCTCTCTCTCTCTTGCTCTCTCTGTGTGGTTAACCTCCCGAGTGGCGCAGTGGTCTAAGGCACTGCATTGCAGTGCTAGCTGTGCCACTAGAGATCCTGGTTCGAATCCAGGCTCTGTCGTAGCCGGCTGTGACTGGGAGACCCATGGGGCGGTGCACAATTGGCCCAGGGTAGGGGAGTTTGCAACGCCAGGGTTGTGGGTTTGATTCCCACGGGGGGACAGTATAAAAACAATAATGTATGCACTCACTAACTGTAAGTTGCTCTGGATAAGAGTGTCTGCTAAATGACTAAAATGTAAGGGAAGATAGGATTTTGAATGGGAA